TTTTAACACATTTACTATTTTTATATGTAAATGTCGGATATAGAGAATGCCAGACATCTAAGTATTAACTTTATTATTTATAAATTATAATTTATAAAGTATTGAATCTAAGTTTTACATTTATTATTAAAAAATATGACTGTTTGACATAGAATGCCATACGAACTAAGGCGTAAACACAATTAGTATTTATAGATGAAGATGTATAATATGCTACAATAGTAGACAAACTAAGAATGTTACAGTATTATAAGTAATAAAGTTACATATTTACAATATAGACATAATTAAACATGTACATATTACTTATAAATGTAACTTTCTGACATATAGAATGCCAGAAAAATTGGTACTTAAAACATTATTATTGCACATATTAGACGTAGAGGGACCAACATTTTCAGTATCATCTGCAGCATATAATCTTAAATGACTTCTGTTTTTTAGGACATGCAGAGTACAAATTGTTTGCTGACATTAGAGAGAAATGTTTTTCATTAATGTTTATGTCTACGGCTGTTTCCCTTCTCGCTTTCAATGCTGATTTTATTACGCAAGTAGCATTAACAGTGACAGACGAAAGTTTATTTAAACAAGAGACTTTAAATTGGGATATTTGTGTACAGTGAAAAATTTGTTTTTACATGTCATCAAAAGTTAATATTGACAATAATATTTTTCTGTTTCTGTTAAACTCTGATGTAAACCAAGTCATTCTTTTCTTAAACTATTGTCGTCAAACCCACCAAACGTTTGAGCGACAAAAAAACGTTAGTAAAAGAAGCTTCCAAAACAACACGAAGTCAACTAAAAGTTGACAATAAGTTGACTGGAGAAGTCAAGAGTCGACTTTTAAGTCAGCCTGAATGTTAACTTATAGTCAACTAAAAGATGACGAATGTCCCAAAAATAGTCGACTGTCAGGCAACTATCCGAGTTGATTAATAGTTGACTGTAAGTTGACTAAAAGTTGACTTTGAAGTAGACTAAAAGTTGACTAGAAGTAGACTTTGAGTTAAATAGAGATCGACTACGAATTTACTATAAGTTGACTAAACGTCGACTAAAAGTTAACTGTAACTTAACTATTACTTTTTTTTTCGTGGGAGAAATCCTTTATGGATACCCTGACCTTGGGGGAAGGCCAGGGTTATGCGGGAATCCCTCTCTCCACCCGCAAGTGGAGGAGGTGTACCCGCTAAAACTCCCACGGTGTGTCTTCCTCGCTCTTAGTAGGAGGGGACCCGGAATTCCATTGTAAGGATGCGCGCGGGTCCCCTCCTGGAGCTGTTAGCTTCTGTGAGGAGGAGAATGATTGAGAACAAGTTCTCGTTCATGTCTCCTCCTCAAGCGTTGGTCGCTCCAACCTTTAACTTGATGCCACCACGGGACACACACCGTGATGACACCCCGTCTCCCGGCCGTGTGCAGGATGAGCCGAGGCCCCCACTTCGACTCGTCACGGCCCCGCGGCGGCTACTAAATAAATAAGAAAACCACACAACCGTGGTGGACGGTACCACCACGGGAATATTAGCCGCCGCCCGCTTGTTCACGCGTCCTAGACGCGGCCCCGGGATCGGTGGGCTAACGAGAGGCCCGGCTCCTCTCAACGCCAAACGTCCCGCAATATACAATTGAGTCTCCCCTATTTTCTTCACAAAAGGAAAGGGGAGACTCATTGTCAGGTGGGGGGCGTGCCACGACCCCTAGGACGTACGCGGGAAGCGGGGGCCCCGCCACCCGCTCGCGCACGTCTTCGGGGTCTCCCCAGATGGAGAGGTAGTCTCTCCCTCTCTCTTTCGGCTGCCTCCTTCTGCTCCATCACTGCGGAGCAGAAGGAGACAACCGCTTCCCACTCGTCTCTCTCCCTGGAGGCCAGCGCCCGTAACAGGCCCTCCAGGGAGAGGTCTTCTCCTATTTTGGCGACCAGCTCTCGGCGCTCCGGAGCCCACCGTAGACACTCTTCCACGGTGTGCTCCACCGAGTCGCTGGCCGCCCTGCACGCGTGACTAACTTGACTATTACTAGCGCAACTTATAATAAAGTTTAGTTATTCAGAGTAGCAAAATAAATGTTTAAAAAAATTAAAAATTATCCCCCAAAAAAAAGTTGAAATATCATAAATTACATAGAGTTGTTAATCTGTCTAAAAAATAAATTTTAATGTAACCTTATAATTTTTGCGTACCTTTAATTATTAAATACATTTGCTGTGCTACACAGAGATATAAAATAATAACTATTAAGCTCTTAAGTAGTGTATATATGGGAGTTCTAATTCAGGAGCTCCGAGGGGGGTGCGGGGTATGACGTCACAAGGAGAAGGGTGACGTCACACAGGGGCGAGGAGGGGAAGGGGTAATGACGTCATGCGGGGAGGCGGTATGACGTTACTGGTGGAGGGAGGTATGACGTCACACGGGGAGGGCAGGGGGACGCGCGGTGTGACGTCACAGGGGACGTCACAGGATATGACGTCACATGATATGACGTCACGCGGGGGATGACGTCACTATGACGTCACACGGGGGCGTGGCTCTGACGTCACAGGATATGACGTCACGCGTGAAATGACGTCACTATGACGTCACACGGGGG